TGCCAGCGATCCCACGGCCGCGCTTGCTGCAGCATTTCAGGTTGGTAGTACTCTTTCCTAGGTTTTTTTTTTAATGCGTGTTTTCGGGCTGAAGGGGCAGATCGGGGACGGGTGTGCGCCGCTTCCCAGATGTTGCGGTGTGATCGCGTCCGTCTGCTGCGCCCCCGATCCGTCCCTCTTGCGGGGCAAAACCTCCCGTGTGACCGGGGCCACTGTTAAGTTTTACTGAGAAAATGTATGAGAAGTTCTTTGAACTCTTTAAAGTGCAGCAAAAGGTTATTTAAAAATAATGGCTTGGGCCCTCTGAAAACGGGGCCATTGTGTCTCATAGCTTAACCTACATCATGCGCTTGTTGTGATACTGTATGAGAAGTTCTTTGAACACTCTAAAGTGCAGCAAAGAGCTATTTAAAAATAATGGCTTGGACCCTCTGAAAACATCTGCTTGTGCAAGATCAGTATTTTTCAAGCAGCTGCCCTGACCTGGTTAGCCCAGGCAAGCCCAATCTTGTCAGATCTTGGAAGCTAAGCAGGGCCGACCCTGGCAAGTGTTTGGATTGGAGACCTCGAAAGAATAGCAGGGTTGGGAGGCAGAAGCAGGCTATCAAGCTACTTCTCTGAACGTCTTCCATGGCCCACTAAAGGTCGCCATGACTTCCAGGCATGGGCACACACACAAATACAAAAAATATATATTTTTCAAGCAGCCCTTGTGAAAGTGGGAGTGCTAGAGGAAGCATACTCTGTGCAGCAGAGAACAGCAAGCATGGCACCATTTAGGCACAGGAGCCAAACTGATCATTCTTCCATCCAGGGAAGGAAAACTGCAAATATTTTGCAAATACTCGCATATATTTCTTTTATTAATCAGCAAGCATTCTTTTAGCTAACAAGCACACGGTCCCATCAGGTACGCACTGGAAAGACTCCATTCTGAAATAATGAGAATCCTTCCCTAGAACTAAGCTCAGGACAAGTCCCCAAAACTGTTCAGAGTGAAACCCTAGGAACATGAGATAACCAAGCCAAAACAAGGACTGCAGTCAGTAGCACCATAGACACCGTTCTAGCCCTCCAGGATGGTTCAGCAGGCAGAGAAGCAGGTCAGGCAGGGAGATACAGGGTTCCAGAAAGCAAGGAGGCCCGGAGAGCCAGATGGCATAAAAACCCGCAGTTTAAATCTGCAGAGAGATATGCCAGACATACAGTGGTGTAATACTGAATTGATCACTAGAGGGAGCAAAACACTTGTGGAACAGGAACCCCCCCCCCCCCCAAGCAACAGGAACACGCCAGTGAGGAAAATGAGAATGTGGAAAAGCCCACATATGTGGTCACTTTCATGACTCTTCTCTCCTGCTGCTACAGTCATCTATACCTTCCAAAATTGTTCACACCATGGGGATCAAAATGAGAGGGGGGAATGCAAGGAGAGAAGAAAATGAGCCCAAAAAACCCCACCTGCCCTTCCATAAGCTTCCTTTGTGCCTGGCAAGAAAACTCTGTACAGCCAATGAGATTCAGAAAGCTCGCCTGTACCTGACCACATAATGGGAGAACTTGCTCAGCTTGGCAGCCAGGTTCGCGGCTTCTCCTTCCAGCCTGAAAACGTCCAGCAGCTTGCGCTCTGCCTGCCTCTCTAGTTGCACGTCGGTCGGTGGAAGACTCTCACTAGAGGTATGGTCTGGCACCATGAGGAGTAGCAGGTTCACCATCCACTTACTCAGGATGTTGTGGAACTCGGTCATCTGCAGCGTCAAGCAAGGGAGAGTCTGGCTCAGCTAAAGCCACAGGGCAAACATGAAGGGTGCTTCTGCATGGGTTATTGGACCCAAGTTCGACACTGTTGGGAAGCAGGTTTTCCCCCTTTGCTTCCCCACAGCATGTTGTACATTTCCTCTCCTTTTCCTTTCATTCCCTTACAAGCTCACCGATTCACAAATCTTGAGCCGCGTAAAATTCTTACTCATCATTATTTTGACATGAAGGATAAAAGGACTGAAACAAATCTTGCTGCCGCCAAAGTAATCTCAGGATCGTTATCTCTAAGTAAATAAAACAAAGTTCCCAAGGTGTGGGGAGATGACTGGTCAATAATAAATGGCCCGATACGATCATCCCTAAAGCCAACGGTATTCAATCAGGAGATGAAGTGGCGTATCGATCTCGTTGAGGCCTCGGGGACAAATTCTATCTCAGAATAAGGCCTATTGGAAAACATTCCCTGTGAAACCATGGAGGTTATAATATTCAGTCTCACAAATAAAAAGGCTCTGCAATAGCGTGGTGTAGTTAAACAATACATATAAGAAGGTAAAGATTTTGGAAAAGAAATACCGAAGGACAAGGATGAGCAGGTATGACAAGCTCGTATCAGACGTCCATGACCAATTTCTAAAACATGCTTTTTAATCAAAGAGAAGGCTTTTGATTTATCCACGCTGGAGATAAGATCAGTCGTCATACCAACTAGCAGCAGTTTCTCATCCAAAGTTTTCATCCAAGTACATTTGAAGGAATCCGGTTTCAGGGCAGTTAGTAAACCATCCTCAGCAAAAAGCAGTTTTAATCTCAGTTTAAAGGCATAAAGCCATGCTGTTGCTTCTAGGGTTATTTAACCCTGTTTTGGCTCACACGAATTTATGACTGGAAGCCTGAAAGCAAGGTTGCCACAAAACCATGCAGAACACACAACAGGCTACGGACCACTAACATCCCATGCAGAAGATTAACAGAAGGTCCAGTTGGAGCGATAGACAGACAGACAGACAGACAGACAGACATTTCGTTCAGAAGTGGGATTATCTATTAAAGGTAAAGCAGAGAATAGGGAAATGCAAGCATGAAGAGCTAGCATTGAAGGGGAAAGATAAGGCTTCGACCTCATTATCTCCATGTGGGAAAAAATGTCATGCTTAAAGTAGTATTATTGCAAGCTAGGAAGAGAAACCATCTTGTGTGCCCCCAGTCCCACTCTTATCAAGGCATATACATATATGCAGGCTGATTAACACAGTAAGAAGTACTGTTTTGGGTTTGGGACCCCGTCCTATGTAACAGTAAGATGTGAGTTGTGGGTCCTCCTCAATTCCCCTGCATGCAATACCTGACTTGGATCAGAACAACAGCATGCATGGAAAAGGGACTTCAACCTTCTCCCTGTCCCATCTTCCCAGCCTGAAATGGTCTGGGGGATGTTATTTGGTCAACTGTACCCACAGACAGAGGAAGCTTCCTACTGTCTCTCTGCATGATTCCCTGCCCTTGCCTCCTTTCGATCAGTCTTCACTGCAGGGAGGGGTAACTCTCCCTGCATCCACTATGACTCTGCATTTCAGTTTCATTACAAAGATGCAGCAGGATTAATGCCTCCCAAGGAGGCTGCCTGTTGTGCATCTGCATGGATTACTGCCCTCAGCTTGCTTTGTTCCATCAAAACACACATGAAGGAACTCATGTAGAAACAAAAGAAGTAGGCTCTTCTGAAGATGGGTAATTCTTATACTTACACCTAGGAAGGTTTACTTTCAGAGTCTGTAAGAGTGACATCTGCCTCCAATTAACTAAAAAGAATTGCCTGTTTTATCAGAAGTTTAGCAAAAAACCTGCATACATACTTCCTGGGTAAGTTGGATGTTTCCTTTCTCAGCACCACTACTGGTGGTCAGGATCCAGTGCTGAATCTTCTTAAATATATCCTCTGGTTTTATCCTTTAAAAAAACCCAAAATGTCCACATCAACAGTATAATTTCACCAGCCTCACACTTTCCAAAATCATGACTGAATATACTTTGAAGAATCATTGCATTATCTGCAGAGAGTGTCTTACATCTGAAATACATTGTGGGACTCACAGTTCTATGAGCAATTCCTGTGCAGTGAGGGGTAAGTTGTTCATGACCTGACTATGAAACTGGCGCCAAGGCAGGGGTGAATGCATTAAAACCGTGGCTAAAACCTTTACGGAAAAACAGCCTCAAGTATGAAAAACAGCGCTGGACAGTGAAAAAGCAGCAGCAAAGGGTTAATCATTTCCCATCATCTGTTCACCCCAGTTGTATCCCTGCTCCAGCTGCTTTTCTGCAGTATATTTGTGTAGACAGATAAGAACAAGTGCTCCAGAGAAGGAAAAACCAAAAATCCTGAAAAGAATCTCATCTTACGGGACATTAATTATTCTAAGCCTTCGGTCCTCCGGGGTTTCGCAGGAACCAGTGAACTTCGACAGATCAGCCATCTGAATCAGCCAGTCACTAACGGTTTGGAAAAATTTCACCCAGTCATTTTCAAGCATCCCAGCCTTTTGCTTGTTGGCTAGCATTCTGAATGACCAGTCTTCCATACTATTGATCAGACTTGTTAAAATCCTCGTGACCCCTGGAGAACACACAGATACAAAAAGAAACAAGAATTCGAAACTTTAGGATCCAGCAGGGCGAGGGGAATTAACACAAAAGGCACAAAACAGATTTAAATGTTCCTGGAGTTGCAATTAAAACAAAATTGCCATTGCTTCTAAAGAAGGCAATGAAGACACATCCTTAATTAGCATTAATTAGCAACCTTAGCTAGCATTAAAATACATCATCATCCTTAACTAGCAAGCAACATGGGCCAAATCCTCAACCCACTGTCCTCAAAAAAGGCCTGCTGTGAATTCTCATTGACACAGACACTGCTTATCCATATGGTCTCTTCTGTTAGTATCTAGGTTTTGGATTTGGCCCACAGGGTATAATGCCATAGAGCCCACCCGCCAAAGCAGCCATTTTCTCCAGGGGAACTGATTTTGGCCATCTGAAGATCAACTGTAATAGTGGGGGATCTCCAGGTGCTACCTGGAGCTCGATATCTCTAATGGAGAGTGGAAGGAAGGAAGGAAGGAAGGAAGGAAGGAAGGAAGGAAGGAAGGAAGGACCCTGAGGCACAGAGAACCCTGACCCTTAGGGTTGCCAGTCTTTGGGTGACACCTGGAGATCTCCTGCTATTACAATTGATCCCCAGGTGACCAAGATCAGTTCCCCTGGAGAAAATGGCTGTTTTGGAGGGTGGGCTCTGTGGCATTTTACCCTGCTGGGGTCCCTCCCCTCCTCAAAACCCGCTCTGTCCAGGTTCCACCCCCAAAATCTCCAGATATTTCCCAACCCAGAGCTGCCAGCCCTACCAATCCCACTTGCGTCAGGTAGTTGGACCCCCAGTAAGCTTGATGGCTGACTGAGGATTGGCAGAGGGGGGAAAAGGTAAAAAATTCCAGGTGACAGATGACTGATTTATTATACAAAAGCCTTTAAACATTTCGCTGTGCAGGATTCATCAGGGGAAATCTAGTCAGGTAGTTGGACCCCCAGTAAGCTTGATGGCTGACTGAGGATTGGCAGAGGGGGGAAAAGGTAAAAAATGCCAGGTGACAGATGACTGATTTATTATACAAAAGCCCCTAAACATTTCGCTGTGCAGGATTCATCAGGGGAAATCTATAAAAACATAATTTTGCATTTAATACAGAGAATAGAAAGACCTCTTGATAAAAATTACTTCAGAATTATTAAAAATAGTATTAAAAGGACAGGGTCAAAATTAATTGCCAAAAATAGGTACATATTGGTCAATATACAATATGAGATAAACAAAGTATACATTGGACATGAAGCAAGACAATGAAAAAATATAATATATGAAGTAAATACTGACCAGAACATTCACCTAGTGCTGGAACTGTCCACAGCAATTAAATTCCTTTACACTGGGGAATGACACAACATTTTTTATCCATACAGATCAGAGTTTAACCCATGAGGTGCCAAAGTGTGCAACCTTAAAATCCACTCAATTTCCTTTTTTAACAGAACTTTTTCATTATGACTGTAAGAGTTATATAAACTCCAACAATTGAAATCAGTGGGTCCATGTTCTTTTTCTATAAACTGCTGTACCAAAGGTGCACCAACTATTCTGCAAAGTATGTTGCGCCTATGTTCTGTTATGCGTGTCTTTAATTTTCTACAGGTCTTCCCTACATATATTTTATCGCAAGAACGTCTGTTGGCATATACAATCACATCTGAATTGAATGTTGTGAAGTTATTGAGAACATATTCTTTTTTATCAAAGGGATTGATAAAAACTTTTCATATTTTGAGTTAGGTTACAAACACTTGCCGTGGTCTTCGGACATATCTGCTCCTGGAATGGTTCTTTGTAGGTTCATGGGAACAAAGGTGTTGCTGTGAACCAGTTTGTCTTTTAAATCAGGTGTCTTTTAAAAGAGATCGTTGTCTGGGGATTGGACCAGATTCTCCCCGCTGGCAGCCTGACATTTTAACAGCATTACCATGACCCAGGTCGCTTCTCACCGTTTTCTCCGCCAATCCTTACAGCATACTGCTGATGGAGATGTTCACAGTTCTTGTTGATATCCTCCAGCAGCTTCGACTCAGGAGGCATCTTGCCGTTGAGAGTCTTGTGGCGGCTGAGGATGCCGTTTCCCAGCTCCATCCACTGTTTCTGAAGCTTTTCAGCTGTCACTAGGGGCTCCTTCCTTGTCAGGTGCACGTCCCCCCCAAACAGATCCAACTGTTTATTCAGCACCTGAAAGGAAAATCCAACAAGCACCGCCGTTGTTAGCTCCTGAAATCCTTGCTAAGACTGGCTGAACGCTATAGCCTTCTGGGGCACTTACATCTTGCTCATCTTAGGACCAAAAACAGAGGTAATGAAGGAGAGGAACAAAGTACCTACTGATCTTTTCCCCCAGTTTTACTTTATTGCAGCTTTGAGAGGCTCCCAGTTTTGCAGAAGCAGTCATTTTTGGGGGGCGTGCGCTGTGTGGGAAGAAGGAGGGGGGGGGGGGGGGGGGAGACAGAATACTTAACCATTTGCCTGCTGAATTAGTCTCCCCTAGATGAGCCCTGCCTAGTTAGTACTTGGATGATAGACCACTAAGAAAGTCCAGGGTTGCTATGCAGAGGCAGGCCATGGCAAACCACCTCTCAATGCCTCTTGCCTTGAAAACCTCATGGGGTCACCATAAGTTGGATGCGATGTGACAGGACTTTCCACCAGCACCACCAGCTGAGCCCTGCAGGGGCTCAGTACCATTTCCCTTGTGAGTGGGAAAGCACCTTAGAGGCCATTTTGTTTTGGGGGAAAATGGGCATAGGGGAAGGGTTAAGCATCCCCTACTCCTGTTGATGAGGATGCACCTTCCCATATCCAAGTGACGATAATTCTTTAAAAATATTAGGAGATGCCTCATTGGTCTCCCTACATAGTATCCCATCTGACTGTTATGGAATCTAGTGAGACCATTTGAGTTAAGCACTGCTAAAGGTAAGTAGGTAAGGACCTGATCAGTAATGGAATGTTAAGATCACTGTGAACTCCATGTACGTCTCTAAAGTTTCTAGCTACCCAGAAGTATAATCAAATACCAATAACAACCACAGCATGTGTAGTGGTTAGAGTACTAGGCATTCTTGGACCTGGGAGAGCCAGGTCTGAATCCTCACACTGCCATGCAAGCTCTCTGGGTGACCTTGGGCCAATCACATTCTCTCAGCTTAACCTATGTCACAGGGTTTTTGTTGTTTAGTATGGTGGTCAAGAGCAGCAGGCTGGAGAACCGGGTTTGATTCCCCACTCCTCCACATGCAATCAGCTGGGTGACCTTGGGCCAGTCACAGTTCTCAAAAGAGCTCTCTCAGCCCCACCTTCCTCACAGGATGTCTCTTGTGGGGAGAGGAAGGGAAAGGAGGTTGCAAGCTGTTCTGAGACTCCTTCGGATAGTGAAGGGCGGGGTATACATCCAATCTCTTCTCTCTTCTTGTGAGGATACGAATGATCTTTTAAGCCTCTTTTGGCCCCCAGTGTGGAGAAAAGTGAGGTACAAAAATATCTAAATAATAAATGACTAAATTATTGCAGTACACGGCATTCTGAGTGAGGCAAAGCCCATCCACCAGGGTGGCTGCCTGTGTGCATGCTTGCAAAGTACGTGATCTGCATAAGGTGAGGAATAAAGAGAGGCATGCAGATGGACAAAAGTAATAAATAATACAGTGCCTTTTGTAACTGGTACTGAGAAGCCCTTACCTTCTCCCAGTCTTTGAGGTCCACCATGATTTCATCCAACAAAGCAGCTCCTTTTGCAGCAGTATAAGATCCTCTTCCATTGCAGGGTCAAGAGAGAAGGTAGGAATGATATTCCAAAGAATTTATCTGAGTTTTTCCCCCCTACAACTTCATTTATACCCTGCCTGCCTATTGAAAGAGGTGATCCTGTAGATATGTGCTTTCCACAAAGCGCCTTGCAGGTGATAACCAGCTCCTTGAATTCCACCAGGTAACTAAAGACCAAAGTACACAATATGATGAACGAACCCGAGTTGCTTTTCCCACAGCCACAGAGCAGCTGCTGGGAATGTCATTTTTAAAAACATGGGGGAAGAAGGGGCTCCTACCTCCCTGCTGTGCTGCTTCCCAAGCTGAAATGATTGGGGGGGGGGATATTGGATAACTTTGGAGCTGCACATGGAGTGTTCCATGCAAGTGAAGCTCAAAAATGGGGCATCCCCCCCCCCAGGCCATTTCAGCTTGGGAAAACAGCAGGGCAAGGGAGAAGGCAGGAACCTCTCTGACTCCCACAGTGTGGTTCCAAGTTAAATCGGGTCCCTGCCAACTTTAAAAACAATGTTTCCCACGGCTGCTGAATGGCTGCATAGAAAGCAAGTTGGGTCCTGGACCCATTAAAAATATACTGTGTCATTTGACCCTAACTGGTAGCCAATGGAGGACCTGTAAGATATGTAATCAAGCTGCAGTGTTCTGTACCAGCTGGATTTTTTGTGTTCTCCTCAAGGGCAGGTCCATGTACAGTGCATTACAATAGTCCAGCCTTGAGGTTACTGCAGCATGGATCACTGTGGCCAGATCAGCTTGATCAAGCTGTTCTCTGGGCTAAACGAAGGTGAAAGAGAGCCTATTTTCCAGGTGCACTAACTTGCTTCTCCAGCGATAATGCTGGGGCCAGTATAATCCCCAGAATCTTCAATGGAGTCAGCAAGGATCAGCTGAACCCTTTAAACACAGGAAGCACCAAACTGTCCAAGATCTCAGACTTTTTGTATTATTATTTTTATTTATTTAATTTATACCCCGCCTTTCCAACCAGTTATCACCTCCATCTTGTGAGGATTCAATTTCAACTTGTTCAACCTTAGCTGTCTAACCACAGCAACCAACCACTTGCTTAGGAATATTACAGCAGTGCCGTGCAGTCTGGATAAAGAAATACAGAGCTGGATGTCATCCGCATATTTGCTGAGAGACAGTGGAAGAAACTGCAGCCCCCTTAATAGCATGTTGTTCTGAGGCTGGGCTGCCCTGATCTATGAGCACAGGTCTATTAAAGTGGTTTAAATGTCACCAGAGTTCCCTCGGGGCTGACAAAGCAACCTTCATATTCCTTCTTTTGGAAGGTGACACCTCTCAGAGCTAACTGGAAGGGGCAAAGACAGAAACTGGAGGCAATTTTATAGTTTAAAAACTCGAGAGAATGGCCTTTAGTACTTAATACTGCAAACAAACTTGTGTTTTTAGTTGTGGCCTAAGCATTACTACAGTTAAGACCTGTATGTCACGAAACCCTCCAGATTTTTGGCTACTCTAATGTCAAGGTGAATGCAGGAGGCAAAGGGCTACCAACAGGCCTGGGAAGAAATGTCCTCTCACCATAATAGAGGCTTAATGTGTGGTAATGGGGAGCTGAAGCATTGTATGATCTGGAACGAGGGGTGAGTAGTGTAGCGGCCAGGGCTTTTTTTGTAGAAAAAGCCCAGCAGGAACTCATTAGCATAATAGGCCACACCCAACAGCAGAAACTCATTAGCATATTAAGCCACACCCCTGACATCACAGCTCATTAGCCTATTAGGCCACACACCCATGTTACCACACTCACCTTTTGCTTCTTATTCTGTTTACTTTGTTTGTTGTCAAAACCCTGGGCTTTTTTTGTAGCAGGAACTTCTTTGCATGTTAGACCACACACCCCTAATGTAGCCAATCCTAATGAGTTTCTGCTGTTGGGTGTGGTCTATTATGCTAATGAGTTCCTGCTGGGCGTGGTCACCTCAGGAGCCAGCCGGAACTCCGTTCCTGTGCGTTCCTGCCCAAAAATAGCCCTGGTAGCGGCCAAGCTTGCAGATGACACCAAATTATTCAGGATGGTGAAAACCAAGACTGATTGTGAAGACCTCCAAGAGGACCTCCACAAACATGGTGAGTGGGCAACAGTGTGGCAAAGGAATTTCAATGTTGGTAAGTGTCAGGTGATGCACATTGGGACAAAAAAAATCCCAACTTCAAATATAGGCTGATGAGGTCTGAACTTGCTGAGACTGAGAGGAAAAAAGATCTTGGGGACATAGTGGATAGGTCAATGAAAATGTCAACCCAGTGTGCTGCAGCAATGAAAAAGGCCTAGAGTGTTATTAGGGGTTATTAGGAAAGGGACTGAGAATAAAATGGCCAATATTGCAATGCCCCGTATAGATCTATGGTGTGGCTTCATTTGGAATACTCTTTACAGTTCTGGTCACCGTTATCTCCAAAAGGACATTGCAGAGCTAGAAAAAGTACAGAGGAGGGCATCCAAGATGATTAGGGGGTTGGAGCGCCTTCCCTATGCAGAAAGGCTGAAGTGTCTGGGACTTTTCAGTTTAGAAAAGAGACAACTAAGGGGGGTATAGAAAGTTGACCAAAAGATCTTTTTCTCCCTCTACCAAAATATTAGAATTTGAGGGCATACAATGAAGCTGATGGGCAGTAGGTTCAGGATGGACAAAAGGAAATACTACTTTACACAGAGAGCGATTAAAAAGTGGTATTTGCTGCCAAGGACGTAGTGATGGCCACAGGAATAAACAGCTTTAAAAGGGGATTAGATAGATTTGTGGAGGATTAGTTTATCAAAGGATACATGGAGGATAAGTCTATCAATGGCTACTAACCATGATGACTGAGGGGGACCTCCACATTCAAAGGCACTAAGCCTCTGAAACCCAGAGCCAGGAGGCAACTTCAGGGGAAGACATCAGCCTTTATGCCCTGTTGTTGGCCATCCAGAGGAACTGGTGGCCACTGGGTAAGACAGAATGCTGGACTAGATGGACTATTGGTCTGATCCAGCAGGGCGCTTCTTATTTTCTTATGGAATGAAAGTAAACATTGCAATCTGGAAATGTAACACCCCATTCAGCCTCTATTAAAGCAACAGGACATTTTTTTTCTCTTCAGGCAGTTGGAAAGCCTAGGTAGACAATTCATAACCACTGAAGAAACATGACCACTCAAGACTCACAGGACGTGATCCCGGAAGTGACTGAGCCATCCATTCAAGGCATTCTGAATGGTGTTTATTTGCTCCCCGCTAGATTCTTCAACTTGCTTCAGCTCTGTGTCAATTCGGCACAAGAGCCCTCGGTACTCCTGCGTCAGCTGCTGCAGGCTGGAAAGATCTGTGGCATCCTGAGCATGTCGTCAGAGAAAAATATTAGGGGGGGGGAATAAGAAATTAGACTTTTAATTAATAAAAATCATGTATAACTTCCCTCTGATGGACATCTGCTGAGTAAATAATATGTTTGGCTCATCCCCATAGTACACACCAACAAGACTACAATTGCAATACTTTTTTTTTTTAATAAAAGCAATACTCTTTGGGTGCACTGAGATAGGGTCACCTGCTCTTGAGAGCACTAAGCACAAGGCCATGAGTCCCAGCCACATTGCCCGTTTCTGGATTACATTAGGCCTAGGCTCAACTAACATCAGGCCTCATGCAGCATTGATTTCTCCACCACCCTCAGAATCTGAGCAGCAGTATCATCCCAAACAAGTTACAACGTGCCTGCCATAGCCTCTGTTAATAACTCCTGATACAGCCTATGTTACGCTGACAAGATGTTATCACCATAATACCATCCTGGAGCCCTGACTGACTGGGCATAGGTGAGCCTAGGCATGCTGGAAAGCAATATATTGATCAGATAACCCAGAGAAGCAAGGAGAATGCCTGCTTACAGGGAAGGTGACTGAGAAAACACAGATGTGTCTTTTGCCTGCAGAGTGACATCTACCTCCAATTTTGATCTGGGGCGGGGATTAAACCTGCATCCACAGTGTCAACATTCTGGGAAATACTGTGCCAGTCTAAGGCTATGCAACATGCATAAGCCATGGAAATACATAGAATCATAGAGTTGGAAGGTACCTCCAGGGTCATCTAGTCCAACCCCGTACATTAGATTTGCTGATGCATATTCATTCCCAAAATCATCTTTGGAGGACAGGCTACATATATACATACATTCTTCGATGACAATTGGATGATGCTGGGAGGACTGCACATGCATCGGCTTCCACTGTACTTATAATCTATTTAGAGATGACAGCAAGTAATGGGCTGGATCCTGCGGAAGATGCCCACAAACCAAAGAGGTGTGTGATTTTCACCTCCTTCTCTTCTCCCCCTTCATGCTATTCATGGGGCTCCCCACTTTCCTAGAAGAAGCATCTGTGGGGAGAGTATTTGCGGATGTAGCAGGAGGATGGGAGGTAAGGGAAGTCTGCTCCACTTGGAGCAACGTTCCATGGGATACAAGCTACCCAATTTGGTAACTTGCTACCAAACTCGGCCGGGCTTCAAACCCAGACTTCTTAGCAAGCTGGCACCTCAATGTGACTATTTTGAACTTGGCCAAATTTGATTCTGTACAATGAAAGGGTGTTGGATATCTCAATGGCTTGTACTACCCTAGGTTGAGGTCCACTGGATGGTGCTTGCCAATCATATGCCAATAAAGGTCTGTGTATGTGTATGTGTGCTTGCCAAGCTTTCCAGAGTGGCATTATAAAAGAGGGATAAGGGGTCCTCCTGCCAACCCAAGGAGGACAACCCGTTGATGAAACCTCGATGGCAGAAATCCAAGCATATCCTTTCTATTTCACCAAAAACATGTTCTACTGAGGGAACACACCACACATTAAAGCCTTGCACCAGAAAAATTCCCTCTCAGTTTATGTATGAGCATTACCCAAGCACAATAAATAACTTAATGATAGATCGATTCAAGATAAATACTACAGCAGGTGATAGTAGGCTGGATTATACGTTGTATTCATTCTGTCGTGTGAGTTGATTCGCATAAATGTATGTAAGCAGCACCATGTTTATGTAACTATTCTAAAACATTAAAAAAATAAGGTTTAAAAAACAAATACTTGCTACACTATGGTCAAAAAACTGCAGTGCTACTTAAGATACCACTAATGCAATATCTTTCACAACCAGCACAGGGAAACATATGAGCTGATTTCCTTTGTCCCCTAAATTCCAGTATGGATCCCAGCCCACAAGCAGGGTAACCTTTGAAGGGCCAGTTCACACATTGACAGAGTCCTTGAGTCCCCACATATCCACTCCAGGTTCTGTCAATCAAATGCAATCTGGTAGTTCTGTACTCGGGAACACAGTGTGAGGCATATGCAGGCCCAATGTGGATCAGGACTGTGGTGTGCAGGGAGAAGAGGCATAATCCTCCCCCCCCCCCAATTACATTTTCCTGACTTAAAACAACCTCAAGCAGCTGCTATTTACAGTCTAAAAAAGGTAAAGGTTTCCCTTGCTCAAAAGCCAGTCAAATCCAACTCTAGGATGCAGTGCTCATCTCTGCTTCCAGGCCAAAGAGCCAGTGCTGTCCGAAGACATTTCCGTGGTCATGTGGCCAGCATGACTATACACTGAGGCGCATGGACTGCTGTTACCTTCCCACTGAAGTGGTACCTATTTATCTACTTGCAATTTTTTGCTTTTGAACTGCTAGGTTGGCAGGAGCTGGGGCCAGAGACGGGAGCTCACTCTGTCATGCGGCACACTCGGGTCTTGAACTGCTGAACTACCGACCTTCCGGTCTGCAGTTCAGCGTCTTAACCACTGAGCCACCGCAAACCCTATTTCAAACTGGGAGAATGGTGCAGAGGGGGAGGCTTGAGCATCCTATCATCATGTACCATGGGCCAAATCGAAATCTAGTCCAAGAGAACCTGGACTAGATGCAGCAGACACATGGGGGACATGGGAAGATTATAACGTGTGTACAGGCCCTGTGACTATGGAACATAGGGACTGTTAGGCAATCACATTCCCAACCTCTCTAGAATGAAATTACTTTTAGAAATGCCTGGCGCAAGTGTAGAAGTAGCACAGTTTCCTTCAGTGCCACCACATCACACCATCCAGCCTCCTGAGTCAAAGATCTACCTCTGATGCCAAAAGTACGACGAAGTGCCTCATGACATTGGTCCAAGCCTTTTCACTGGCGTACAGCCTGCGAGCCAAGATCACCTTGTTCTTTTCTATCACCTGGAAAGACACATTAAGGGATGATTAGAAAGACTGGGAGGGAGGGGGTGGGAAAGATAGCTGGAGATTCATGAGCTAGTTAGAGATGAAATTAAAATATCTGCAACCTGACGCTACGCATAAGGAGTCAAAAGGGTTACAAACATATAGACATGCAGGGACTATACCCCAATTATTTACTGTAAGATGCACCAAATATCTGTGAGAGCCTCTAAACAAACGTGCACATCCTCTTTGGGTCAGAAATAACTTCTGCCTTGGAAAGCAGCAAATCTCCTGGTTGCAGCTTCCCAAAGACCTCTACAGGAACCAGAAGCTGCTGGACAGGGCTGGTCAACAGCTCCAGATAATGTTCACTGGCTGCACCTTAAGCCTGCTGTGCTTTCTTTTGCCACTTGTCTTGCTCTGACCTTTGAGCCTGACTTCATGTTAGGTTTTCCAAGGTCCCTATGGTCAAAGGGCTTTGCCGCACTGTGTGCTCTTGTTGCTTCAGAGGTTTTTTTCCTGTTCTGCACATGTGTTGCTCCCTCTAGCGGTCAATTCTCTATTACATCTTTATGCCTGGCGTAAAAACCTGCAGTTTAAATCCGAAGGGAGGTATGCCAGACATAAAGTGATGTAATGCTGAGTTGACCACTAGAAGGACCAGCATACATGCAGAACAGGGGGGAGGGGGGGGACAGAACAACACGAACACACAAACAAGGAAAATAAGAATGTGAAAGAGCCCAAAACGTGTACTTCTAGTTCTGTGCTGAAAACATAAACCCAGGCATGCGTGTGCCCAAATTTGATTGGGACAACAGGGTACTAGAAGAAGTGGCTTAAGCCCCCCCCCCCCCCCAGTTTCTCCCACTGAAGCAGCCCCAAAGGGCGCTATTTACCTTGTGGGGAAACCTAGATGTACATGGAGCCCCACAAATAGCGCCTCCCAAGGCTGTTTCAGGTTGGGAAAACAGTGCAGGGGGAAAAGGCTGAAGCCCCTTCTTATTCTTCACCATAGTCCCAACCTGAATTGGGTCCACATATGCCTAGGAACTTATAATATACATTTGAATGCAAGGACCAGGAGAAGATGCATAGGAAAATATAACATGTATTTAGGCTCTTTCTTGGACCTCTTCTGGGCCCCACTTGCTTTGCTGCCTGTTCCCTGCTGGTTGAGGCATGGTAGGGAAGGGGAGTATCACTCATCACCCATACTAGTCGAGTTAGACAACTACAACACGCTACACGCGGGGCTGTCTACTGGAGATCGTTCAGAATAGACTGTTGGTTGGGATATGGAGAACCTGTCACATCTTGTAAGTACTTCACCGTTTTCAGTGGCTAACAGTTTGTTCCTGGGTACAATTCCCAGTGTTGTTTTTGCCCTACTAAGCCTTAAATAGTCTGGGAACGTGGTATCTGAAAGACTGTGTACTCCCACATGAACCTGGCCAAGATTTTCAGTGGAGGCCCTTTCTCTGAGGGCCCCCACCTTCAAAGACAAGGACGCACAAACGAAACAAGCCAAGTTCATGCAGGTCATTGACGAATGAAAGTTTGACGTGATGTCCTTCTGGCTCAAGTCTGAAACCTCCCTCCCGTCTAAGAAGCCCGAATGCAGCCTCTTTTGTACGGCTAGTACAAAATGAAAAGTACTGCGCTCACCCGACAAAGAGAAAGGAAATACAAATCTAAAGGCTAAAACATTTATCAGAAATAACGAATTTCATAACTGACAAAATAATTTAAAAAATGATCAAAATGATGATTTCAGGCCGTCTCCAGCCGAAGCACCAGACCATTAAAGGGGAAAGGTACTATTATCAGAAGCAAGAGGACATTGGGCCTCTTTCTCCAGCTACCTTGAGGGCAAGGTCATACGTAGCACCACTCCAGAGTTCTTTCTCTTCGGTTAACTGCTGAATCTGTGCCTCGAGTCTCGCTCTCTGCAATTCATACAGTTCACGGTATTCGTCCAAAAGGCTTAAGAGAGTAAGACATGAGATGTTAAGAGGGTGCCGCCTTTCCCTTCACCAGAGTTCCATTAACTGCCTATGTGGCGTCCAATACAGATTGGTCTTCTCACCTGTCCAAGGGATGTAGTGGTTAGACTGTCAAACTAGAGTTCAAATCCACATTCTATAATGACACTCGTTGAGTGACCATGGGCCACTCTCATGCACACACGCCACACACACACACACACACACACACACACACATAGTCTCACAAGGTTGTTGTGAGAATCAAATGAGGAAGGGAGAACCATGTATTCTACCCTGAGCTCTGTGGAGGAATGGCAAGGGAAAATGCACTTGACTAGACTGTCTGGGACAATTTTCCAGAAAAAGCGCTTTTTTATGACGTAGGAGGCATTTGGGGTGTAAAGTGGGTAGACAGGTTTCTTAATCGTAGTCTGAATATGCTGACTACATGTATTCTGTTCATGAAGCTGAATTCTCAGGTGAAGACCTAGAAAATTTGAATTCAAATGAATTCCAAATTTAATCTGGACTCAAAATACTCCAACGAAGTTCTGATTCCTAGACAGGCTTGTATAGGAGGAAATGTGAGCTGCCCAAGCTTGTTTTCTCTTTCTGCATAGCATAGTAGCTTGAAAGGGAGGAAACATCCCTTTTTAAAAAAAAATGAATTACCTGTTCCAGAATTCTGATCTTCAGGTTTTGGAAAGAGCCAACTTAAGCAGAGATCAAAGGGAAGGGATTCATATCTGAAGATGGCAGCAAGGCTAGCCCAATCTTGTTGGATCTTGGAAGCTAAGCAGGGCTGGCCGTGGTCAGTACTTGGATGGGGGACGACAGGGTCATGACGAAGAGGCAGGCAATGGGAAACCACCTCTGAATGTCTCTTTCCATGAAAACCCTACAGGGTCACCATAAGTTGGCTGCAACTTGACAAGGAAGGAAGGAAGGAAGGAAGGAAGGAAGGAAGGGAGAGAGAGAGAGAGAGTGAGAGAGAAATGGCAGCAAGATTGCAAACGTAAAAGAAGATACTCATCCTCAAACACTAGCTAATCCTCCCCCATGATCAGAACTAGTCTCCATTTACTTCCTCCTGCTTCCTGTTACAGCAACAGCGTCAAAATCTGATGCAGCAAAACAAAAAAATGCAGATTCCTGCAGCACCTTAAAGACCACTACATAGCCTATGGTCCTCACTGCCACAGAATCCTGGGATGGTTGATACTGTGCTGATACTTTAAATACAGGTATTAAAAGATCCATACACATTCCCAAGTCAAGTGCTAACAAAATATTAATGAGGGCCTAACTGCATGATACTTTGGTCTTGGGTTGAGCCTCAGATCAGCTCTGGGGACTGGCAAGCTGATGTGTATTAAGAGTTCCTTGGGGAAAGTTAATTCCCAGGCGTGAGGGGGGGCTGATTCAGATCAGAACTGCAGCATGGGGAAAAGGAAGCTTAAGCCTCCCGCACTCCGTACCCTATTCCCTGACTTGAAATGGCCCCAGGAAAGCTGTTCAAACCCTTGGGCTGAAACTGATGGGCTATTTATTTATTAAAACAGGTATAGTCTGCCTTTCCTTGTGGTTCAAGGAAGCTTTTGAGGGTGGGAAGGGGGGAGAGATTTGGGATTTGTTATTTTATTTTTCGTTTTCGCTGGGGATGTTTTTATTTCAGTCCAGTGTGCAACAGACATTAATGTTGCAAAATTATTCCATTATGAAGAAATTTGAGCTTTTTAGGGGGTAGTTCACAGTACAAGAATGAGAAAATTGAGCATCTTTGGAGCAGGCACCATCAAACTAAGCAGGAAAATGGGGTCACTGCTTTTCATCCAAAATGCTTCCAGTCTTTCAGTAAATTTGTCAGCTGAGGCATTGCCTCCTATAATGAAAATGACAAAATTGAGGCTGATAAATAACATTTTTAAATCCAGCACATTCACAGTGGGTAGAAAAGCTGTTTGCTAAAAATCCCCCCTACCTTGTTCCTTTGGGAAACAAGTCAGAAAGAAAGACAGACTTAGACTTACCTTGAACATAATGTGAAAGACAATACTACTACTAATCATCTGGAACATAACCCAGCCAACATTTAGCACTAGTATTGATTTCAGCATGAGAGAGTGCAGGCTCCACTCTTCCATGGGAGTTAAAGCAGGCTTCATTTTGGCTAGGCTCTGCAGGGGTATAGCTACATGTGACATTCATCGCGTATAAAGTAGCCTGTTATCTGTTGTGAAATGCGAACAAGCCCTTCAGTGAATTTGATATGCCTGGAGGCGTTTGCCTTAACATAATGCTGAGCTTATGTCATTTCCCTTAGCAAGAGAGAAGCAGGCAAAATTATTGGAGCGAGACAGTGGCAGACATAATGTATAGCAATGTGCTAAGTTGTACTACCTAGAAGAGCAGGTACCTAGGTTCTATAGCCAGTGATGAAGTCCAAGAAAATCGGTCAAAATATTTCAGGCAAAGCTGAGGTTATGTGGTAACCAGGGCTTTTTTTCAAGGAGAGCATGCCAGAATGGAGTTCCAGAACCTCTTCGACAAAACTCTTTTTAAAATGTTTAGAAGTTTGTGAGTTTTCAGTATACAAATTGAAAACTTCATTTCCCTCTTGAGAGTTCCGGCACCGTTTCCCCCACTATTTGATGTGTGTGACAGGCAAGCCAGACCTGCAAGCCTCGAATGGTGGTTGGGCGCCTTGCCTAGCCCAATTGGAAGAAATGACAAATCAGGCTGGAAGTGACATGTTGCCAGTGGGAGGGTGGAAACTGGTTAATTGGCTGAGGGTTTTAGAAGCCAGAGCAGGATGGGGTAGATGGGTAGCCAAGGATAGAGGAGGCAGAGACAGTGACACTGGCGGTGAACCCAGAGGCAGCGCCGCTGGAAGGTGCTAGAGATATAGGAGGGTAGGTCACGCCAGGGTGCGGTGGGCTCTTTTTGTAGCAGGAACTCCTTTGCATATTAGGCCACACACCCCTAATGTAGCCAATCCTCCAAGAGCTTACAGAGCTCTTCTTACAGGGGCTACTGTAAACTCTTGGAGGATTGGCTACATTAGGGGTGTGTCACTTAATATGCAAATGAGTACCTGCTACAAAAAGAGCCCTGCCCGTGGCGTGAAGAAGTGGTAGAGCAGAACAGCGGTGGAATGGACTGTGAAGGGCTAGAGGGACTGAGGGCTGTGGAATGCACTCAAGGGGATGTGACCTGACAAGGAGGGGCAGGTCCAGAGAGGAAGGTCTCAGGAACCCTGCGCCAATCTCCATCAGAGGAGGAAGGAGGGGACATGAGGGACGTAGTGTCTGAGCCTGTAGGGCGCAAGGTCTTAGAAGTGATGGAGGGTCTGCCGCAAACAAGGCAGCTGCAGGGAACCTCACGGAGCTACTTACCTTGGGAGGGTACCAAGGTCTAGGGCTTGGCTAAAGGGGACATTGAATGTTAAGGGAAGACAGTCATTGTAATAAAGTGGCCAATGAGGAACCTCTGAGGGTCGCCTTGGAAATTTAACAAAAAGGGGGTCTGGTGTGAGGCTACATGAGAAATGTGACAATGGCCTTCCTGTTGCCTTTGTGTGTGTTGTTTGAGAAGAATTCTCTCTCTCTCTCTCATTTCTAGCACACTCACTCTTCACTCAGAATCACCACGTCAGGTTTGGGGAAGGGAGGGAAGGGAAGGAGACAGGGAAAAAAAATTAAGGGGATGTGGTGACTAATACCGATGACCTAAGATATGTTCTTGAATTTGCTGAGGAATAAATTATAGCCTGCTGCCCCACCATGTATTATAAGAGGATGTGTTGCTACTTTTTTATATGTCAGAATAAGCAGACACACAGGGGCTGATGCAGAATATTCACATTCTTCAAGCCACACACCCCTTATATACTGCCCCCCAACCCTTGCTGATTAAGAGGATTGACCAATCGTCCCTTACCCTGGGTTCCCCAAAATCCTGGTCCTGAACTAAACTTGGGACATGACATAATTTCAAGACTCTTGCAAGAGGGGTCGAAAGGAACAAATTGGCTCATTGTATGGGTCGGATCCTGTGACTCCATTCTGCTAATGACAAACTTTCCTCTGGCACAACCCACATCTTTCACAGGCGCACAGCTGCTTTTGCCCACAGAAGGCTCTACCATTAGTGGAGTGGAGTCACATGATCTGACCCCCCCATAAACAACCCTTCCAAGTTTAATCTGAAACTCACTTTGCATTCATCTCAGAATCCCATATTGCCTTAGCAAGCTCCTTATGGGTCTTTTCTGCATCGGTGGTTGCTCTGCGGTCATGTTCTCGGACCATCTGCAGTTCCCTGGGGTTGAACAGAGCAGTCACTTCAGCGGCCTTGTACAATCACAACTTTCAATCTCAAAGCGGGATAGAGAAAACACCAATCAAGTTCTTGACCTTGTCAGCCTTCCCACAGCTTCCTTGAATCTGAATAACTCCTCTGTGATATGCTTGTCCATTACCCTCTGGGCCATCATTTCTTTGTAGAGATTCCTGATCTGCCTGGGAATCCGGTCCAGGATATCAACGTATCTTTGTCTGCAAGAAAAAAGGATGTAAAAAAAGGGGGGGGAGTCTTGTTTCCTCCAAAATACTGAAAGAGAGAATCCTTTCCAAAGATGACTGGGAAACAACCAGTGTAGGAAAGGCATTTGCACGTAAGAAATTAGACACAGTGATGCACCCTGTGATATAGCTCTCCTCCCAACCTGGAGAAAGGGGAACACACTAGAGGTGCCGTGGGATTTATCAGATCCCAAATGGACATCAATTAACCACAGTCTTCCAAAAGAAAGACAATCTATTTTACAAAAGAACAAAACATCAGCACTTGCAAGAGTCCAAAACAAAAAAACTTAAACAAGAACCCAGCTACTGGAACTATCTCACTTTCTTTAAAGCAGGTTCTTGTTCCAGGCAACATCGCAGGCAGGAGGGAAATAAAACTTTCAATCTTGCTGCCACACATCAATTTCTCCTCCTTGTAGTCTGGTTCAGCCCTGGCTGAATCCTCCCTCATCGAGAGAGATCGAGATAAAACTGAGCTAATGATTTAATAAACACGACCTTTTCCAGCCAACATACAAAGGCTTCATTCCTGCCAAACATCACCTGTTAACAGTTTGTCAAATTAACCAGCACATACGGCTATTATCTTTCCCTTAACAGTAATGAAGTTTTAAAGAGCAAGGTGCAATTACAACTGAGCATCACAGACATTTAAACACATTTTAAAAATTCAAGGCTCATTAACAGTGGCTTATCTGGGGGTCTAGAGATCTGTCATACAGTTCATTCAACACTTTCTCACAAAATGAAAGTTCCTAGGACTAGCTGGGTACGTCTTGAAGTTAAACTAGCTTGGAGCATAGCTGTACTCTCAGCTATTCTAAACAACCAATGCTTTTCCCACAAGCCATTTCTACCAGTGGCAAGATTGGGCTGTGTGTCTGCTGAGTGAGCTCCAGAGAATGGCTCCGCAAAACCGGAGCCCCTGCTGCAGTGCAGCTACCTGAAGCATCTCTGTGAGCAGGCTTCTCTTGCACCTCTAAAAGTCCTCAGAGCTCAGAGGAGTGTAACTCCTCTCTTATCTCAGGACAAGGAATACATTACCATGTTCCGAGCAGAGGTCAAATTTAAATGACTGGTATCTTGCCCAGAATGATCAGCACAACGATAGCTCTGCTGTTACCAAACAAACATTCGTTTAGTGCCAACAGTATACTAGACACTAAGTAAGTCAACACCTGCCAAGAAGGATTCTCTGCGGATACTGAAATTTCCATGCTGGGGGGGTGGGGGATTCCATGCAGTGGCTGATGTATTCAACAGACAACAGTGGCAGCTGCCCCGGGCTACATGCTGGGGGGTTCTGACCACCCACAGCCCCTCTCCCTTCTGAAGGTGGAGGGCAAAGAAGACAGGCTCTTGCAGCTGTTAGCACCTGCCCTGTCTGGGTCTTGGATAGCAGGCTTGCAGCACTGGTCAATTGTACCTCTCCTTCTGGGGCTTGGGCAGCCAGGTTCCAGCAGAGGCGGTGGCTCCTACCCACTTCACATGGGGTGAGGGTTGCCCTTTGCTTGACCCTGGTGGAGCAGCAGCAGGGTGTCAGTAATTCTGGGGTCCCATCCGGGACTTTTGCCCAGGGCCCCAGAATCACTAAGACCTCCCCCTCCCCCCATTTCCAGGTGTCTGGGCTTTAGGTACCTGAGGCTTTGGGGGAGAGGGGCAGAGCCTGGGAACTGAAGGATGCTCTCTGCCAGAACAGGAGCAGAGCCTGGAAGAACTTGGACATTCTTTTGAAAGAGATTGCAAAAGTCTCCTAACTGCTCTCCAGTACAGTACTGCTCTCTTTCCAATGGTGAAAAGACTTACTTAGTGAATTCAGCTCTCATACTTTATTAGGAGAAGAACAAGACAAAGTAGCCGGCTCGCAGGCAGGCTTATATGCCCCAAGGAAAACACACCCACATACATCCAACACCCGTGAATGGTCTATTTACAGTGATTATATGATTTTAGGTTCCTGATTGGCAGGGAACTAGGATCCGACCGGCTATTGTGTTTACGAGCGAAGCTCAGGCCCTTCGCTTGGCCACATGCGGAACCGGCCGAAACCGGATTGCGCACATGGCCGGGTCAGTACACAACAAATGGGTTGGATGCAGTGTCTTCTCCACTTTCCTTCACCACTAACAGTCCCTTCTAAGCCCAGGAAAACTGATGCTGATGGTTGTGGGACCCACATGGAGTGATGATTGTGGGGATTGGTGGTCTGCAGTGAGGAGGGGAAAGGGGATGAAATCACCTTTCCTGTCTCTTACATCAAAGGAGCTCTGCTGGTGGAAGAACTAATTTTGTCCCCTTCCGCCTCCACTAAGGTAAAGGTAAAGGTTTCCCTTGCTCGAAAGATAGTCAAATCCGACTCTAGGGTGCGGTGCTCATCTCCATTTCCAAGCTGAAGAGCCAACGCTGTCCGAAGACATTTCCATGGTCATGTGGCCAGCATGACTAGACGCCAAGGCGCATGGAGCACTGTTACTTTCCCACAGAAGAGGTACCTATTTATCTACTTGCAATTTCTTGCTTTCGAACTGCTAGGTTGGCAGGACTGGGACCCGAGACGGGAACTCACTCCATCATGCAGCACTCGGGTCTCGAACTGCTGAACTACCGACCTTCCGGTCTGCAGTTCAGCGTCTTAACCACCTAACAAACCAGCAGGGTATTACGAGATGCAGGACCCATGATCCCAGCAATCACCTTCCCCAGAGTCAGAAGGCATTACTGGGGGGGGGGGGGGAGTGGAGAAGGGCCATGATCCTCACGTGAGTGGATCACCGGATGCAGCGCCAGGTGTTTTCAAAACACATGGCTCAGATTCTATTTAATTCATTAGTACCCTGCCTTTCTCCCTCAATGGGACCTGAAGCAGCTTACAGCATTCTCCTCTCCTCCATTTCACTTCCACAACGGGGTCCCACAGTGGCTTACAACATAATTCTCCCCTCCTCCATTTTATCCTGACAACAACTATCCATGAGGTAGGTTAGGCTGGAAGAGAGTAGGGATGCCAGACACACACACACCCCAGTGCGAGGTGGGATTCCCTGGTTTTGGGCACTCCTCTCTGCCCCACCCATTACCTCCCAAAAATGGGCAAGAAGCCAGAAATAAATGCGACGTAGGCACGTTGGGGACGTCGGGGGGCGACACTCTGGTTTTTGGGCAAAACTCTATGGTAGACGCTAATTCTACCATAGTTTTGCCCCAAAACCAAAGTGTCATCCCCCCAATGTCCCCAACGTGCCTACGTCACTTCCGGATCACGTAGGCCCTTTGTGTTTATTTTCAGCATTCCTCCCCGCTCCCAGTAAGTTCACCCCCCATCCGCCGCCAGCAGGTCCAAAGGAGCTAGGAGAAAGCGAGTCACTGGTCCAAGGTCACCCAGTGAGCTTCCACAGCAGAGTCGGAATTCAAACCTGGGTGTCTCAGATCCTCATCTGACACTGTATCCAACTACACTACACAGGCTCCCAAAATTAACTGAGTGCGCTTAACAAATTCCAGATTCTGTACCACAAGCAAGCCGAATTCTATAACCTGAATGACTGATGCAAATGCACGTCCTTCTGCTGTTCTGCATAACTGATTCTGCAATTGACAACTGAATCCTGCACCATTTATTCTCCTTCTGCTAGTACAGGGAAAAGCAAGAAACTGTGCAGACACAGAAGACCTGAGCAGCGGAAATGTTATTCGGTAGCCTCTGCAATTTCTGAGATTTCAGTGGGTATTGCACACCCTTGCAACCTTTTTTTTAAAGAAGTTGAGATTCCCCGGAAACCAGATTCTGCATCCTGTGCACTTCCACGGAATTCCAAAACACACTCCACCTTGCACACGTTAAGAGGAATATGAAAACTCCAGAATATGCTTCAGTACATGTATTCTTTGGTCTAACCCAATGAAGAGTAATTTTAAGATGTTGGACTGCTCAGGGAATAGGCCCCCGTTTATTCAATTCCTTACCCCCAAGAAGTATTCAGAGGAGCGCGGCCTTAGATTTCTGACCTGAGCTTGGAGAGCAGTTCTCCTCGTTCCGCACAGTCCACGCTGACTTGTCGGATGATCTCATGAAACACGATGTTGTAGATGTTCTGCTCCATCTTCAGCACTTCTAGGGCATTGTGCATCTTGGGAAAGACGTGGTGGGGAGAACAATTCAATACTGATCACTCTTACCAGAGAGCTCCCATTTGGAATCACACACTGTGAAAACCTTTGGTCTTTTCTAGGTTCCTGCTGGAATGATTTAATAACAAATATTTAGCAGGCGTATAGCTAGGGTTGCCAACCTCCAGGTGGGGCCGGAAGATCTCCCACTGTTACTACTCATCTCCAGACAACAGCGATCATTTCCCCTGGAGAAAATAGCTGCTGTGGAGGGTGGGCTGTATGGCCTTGTGCTCTGTTGAGGTCCCTCCCTTCCCCCAGCCCTGCCTGACCCAGGCTTCACCCCCAAAATCTCCAGGTATTTCCCAACCCAGACCTGGCAACCCTACTTATAGCACTTTTGAGAGTTTAAAGCAGTTTGTATATATCACTGTTGTAAACGTAAAACCACTAATGAAATAAATATTATTGCAGTATTTTTTCAGATGAGGGGCTGAGAGAACTAAGAGAATTAAGCTTGCCAAAGAATACCTATTGTGTTCATGGCAAAGGCGAAATCTGAACTGCTGATAACAGTTTCGTCCTAAGCAGAGTTATGCTCTTCTAAGCCTACTGAACTCAATGAAGGATGTAATTCCGCTTAGAATGACACTCTTATGCATTCACAGCTTGGTCCCTTTACCCCCATGTTACGCCTGCTCTCCGCTACATTACCCGTGGAAGAGTTCTTACCACTGTAAAGTTTCGACTCCTCCGGTGGAAATTCCACACTTAACAGGGTATCATTATTGTCAAATGCTCAGCAACAGTTCCAAGTGTACCACAGAGCTTTGAAGGGACTTCCAAATGGACTTGTTTGAGTTTTAGAGTGAACATCAGCTTGCCAGCTCGTCTCTGGTTCTCCCTTTATTTCTGCCAATTTTGAGGCAGCCACAAAAACCAGTAACAGAGGAAATGAAACAAATGGGGGGGAATTACATCAGGAAACTTTTAGAATTAGATGTATAACCATAGCCAGGAACTGAATAACAACTGAGCCCGCGGCCGGGGTGCTGGTAGGTTATCACTCCCCATACAAATAATGTGGCCCTAGTTAGGGATAAATAGCTGTGTAAACCGCTCAGAGACCCTCCGGGGTCAGAGCGGTATATAAGTCAAAAATTAAATAAAATAAATAAATAAATATCAAAAAAGAAAGGAGAAGCCACACAGACATTTTGGCAGACTCTCCCTCCCTCTGTTATCTCCTTCTCTCATAAAGTAGATTGTAAGCTTCTTGGGGCTACAGCCCATCTTTTTCGCTTACATTCCTTCTTTAAAGCATTCTGCCCACTGATAGGACTTTCTGGGAACACCACCATGCTTCACCCACCTCATCATTCCCAAAACATGACTAAACCAAGAGAAAGAAATGCAAAACCACTGTAAGACGCTCTTTTGGGCAAAGTCCAATTTCTCAAGATCCTGTTCAGATCCTGACAAGGATGACACGTGCAGGATTTCATGAGCAGCCATAGTGGGTTCTGCTCCCAGAGTGCACCCACTGTGTCCGATAGTATTAGACAGACACACCAGTGAGTCAAACGCTGGATAAGTCCTCAGCTTGGCCCACCCATCATGCATCAGGTAGGCAGCTTTTTTACAGTACAAAGCAGGGCATGTTTAAGTATGTACGATCATCTTTAACTTTATACCCTCCCCCCAAATACAGAGTTTTTAGAAATTGCAAAATTACTCTGGGGACTGAAGGGGAAATGGATGGGTGACACCACAAGCGCTAGCCAAAAGGGTACCTCTACTGCCAGCTTTTCAAGCCAAACCTCTCCAAAATCCTGCAGTTTTCCCCCCTGTACAAAACAGAAATACCATCTTTCATTCCAGAGCAGCAGAGATTCCATCAGACCCCTTTCGCTACTCTCATTCATTCCATTGGTACACCAATATACACCAGCACCACAGGGGTATTTCCCTGCTACTGTGGTTGGCTATATTGCCACAAAACATGTAGACAGAGTAGCTGCCTGCCACTGCCTTCAAATGCCATTTTTCATCCAGTACAGGCAACTATCCATTGCAAACATGCATGGTTCAACTGGAAATAGGCAACTCTGAAGAAAAGGTGATTGGATCGGAACTACTATGAAACATTACCTGAGAAAGCCCCGTTATCCCGGTTTCCTCATTATCTACTCCAGCCTTTTCCAGCATCGTGTCCATGACCTTCATCAGCTGCATAACCTCCAGCCTCCCAGATGGCTTCCTAACCAGGAAAAACCGAGGAGAAAGGCCATTAATTAATTAGTTTTATTTGGGTCATTTATACCCCTCCATTCTCCCCAGTGGGGACCCAAAGCAGTTCACACTGTTCTTCTGCCCTCCATTTTATCCTCACAACAATCCTGTGAGGCAAATAGGCTTGCCATTCCCCCCGGGGAGGAATAGGAAACCCCACCACCACCGGCAGCGAGGTAAGACCTGGCAACCCTAGAGGCAAATTAGGCTGAGAGTGTGTGACAGGCCCAAGGTCTCCCAGCGAGCTTCCATGACAGAGTAGGGATTCAGACTTCAGTCTCCTAGATCTTCGTCTGACACTATAACCACTAGACCATGTTGATAAAATGTTATATAAGCTCCTCAATAATGCAAAGTACTGATTACTTACATGGATGGGAAGACCCGTAGTCTGTTTTCATGGTCTTCAAGTAGAGTTGTATATTTACTGCAATGGACAGAAATTTTTTTAAGCTATGTGAGGAAGCTCTCTGGGCTGTAGTGTTCAACAGTATATTTAGTTGGTTCAATCCAGTCCTACTGCAGGAGCATAACACGAGGGATTCTATGTAACAAAAGAGGTTTGTTAAACAGATATGAGGTTCCTCCACACTGGATCCTGAATTGTGGGGAAATTGGATGTTGAGGATTCATGGCTCTGTTTAAGAATTTTGCATATCCTGACTTGCCTTACAATACAATAGGGTCGTGATGGGGCAACAAGGGCACAGTGGCATCTTTCAGTAACTCCCCTCCACACAGGAATGTGTGTCTCACCGTTGCCTGGTTATGGGCTTTTTCTGTGCCTCTCCTGGCCCTTTGGAGCAGCCTCCTGAAGGAATTTCACGAAGGCTGCCAAACCGAGCTCTGTGGGTCAGGCCAAACTGAAAGATCATGAGACTGCCTATCTGCATGTAAAGGAAGTGCGTTGGGGGACAAACATGGAGTGTGTGGGCAAGAGGAGCCAGACTCGATTTGCTTTTTAGCATTTTCGGCCAGCCCAGTCTGACTCCAGAATTCAACCAGGACGACAGGAAAAACCTGGAAGTCATTTAAGAACAGATGCAAAGGCTACAATGAAGACAAGGAACAAGTGTAAAAACTGTAATAAGGATTGACAAATAATGTAAAACTAAAATGATGCAAAAGAAATTTGGACAACTCCAATGATAACTAGTACAAAAGTCAACAAAACAGTTGGACTTCTTATAAACTTCTCTGCCTAGATTAGGTTGCTCTTGACTTATCCACTCTGCCCTACTTATTTATTATTGTATGTATCTAGAACATTTTTATGCCACCTCTCCAGGAACCTGCCTGAGGTGGCTTACAAAATAAAAATAATATACACAAATGATGACATGATATTAATCAGAATCCAGCATTAAAAAAACCCAGCACAGCATAAAAACAGACAATAAAAACAGACCGCAAATAATAAAATAAGTTTCCAGACTAAAATAGTGTTTAAAAAACCAGTCCCTAAATTACCAGATACAATGCATGCCATTAAATGGCTAAAGGAAATATGATCATTCTCACTCATCATAATACTCCAAGCCAATGACGCCTCTGTTTTTTACAATGTGAAATTCCTCTGGGACAAGACTGTCTGCTATGCTTCTTGGCTAAAAGAAAAACCAGAAAGAGCAGGCCTTAAATATGATATAAAGGACTCACATATTTCCCTAAAAGAACATTTGGTTTTGAATGTTTACATAATATACCTCATGAAAAATTTGAATACCTAAATCAGAGTTAGGGAGAAGAAGAAGAAGAGAAGAGATTGGATTTATACCCCGCCCTTCACTTGGAGTCTCAGAGCGGCTTACAAACCCCTTTCCCTTCCCCTCCCCACAACAGACACCCTGTGAGGTGGGTGGGGCTGAGAGAACTCTGACAGAAACTGCTCTTTTTCAAGAACAGCAAGGACAGAGCTTGTGACTGACCCAAGGTCACATCAGCAGGTGCAAGTGGAGGAGTGGGGAATCAAACTCGGTTCTCCCAGATTAGAGTCCGCACACTTAACCACTACACCAAACTGGCTCTCCAAATGGGCACTGTAATTAACACCTAAATTACTAAGATAACCGCGGTTAAGCTTCCAGAAGTGTGACTGGCACTCTGGTAGCCTATTTTGGCCAAAAAGTAGAAATAAAGTATAAAAATGTAATTCCAAAAAAGTTTCTAACCTTCCACATTCTGATTTGCAGTTAAGACTGACCTGTGATTTACAAATTCAGAAGCAATGCCTAACTGTGGTTAAGGAAAACAAACAATGGTGTTAAGTAATGGACCAGCCCCCATTAAATGTGTACTGGAAATGGTCTGGAAAATGCTTTTTAAAAGAAGTTGTTCCAAATCAAAACAAAGATTTCTAAATGCCAGAACATAAGAAGATCATGGCAAGATTAAATCATTGGTCCACCTTGTCTAGCCAACAGCAGCCAGCCTTTGGAAACTTCTGGTGACTTAGGAAGAGAGAATGGCTATGTCTAAAGAAAACTGCTGTGGTGCGAAGAACACTCCCCAATGAAATATAAACCCTTTGTCATTGATCCACATTGCTTGTTCCGAATCCATAATCCCAAATATATCTGAGTTAAATAAAATAATTCCAATAGCTCTATTCAGTTTTCAACTCAAACTCCATCTTGCCTCTTGGCGGTCCAAGATGAATGGTTAAACAACTGAATCCTGTTCTCACTCTTCTCAGTTGCCTTGAAAAGAAGGAAAAATTAAACTCACTGGTCTGGCCACATCTGCTTCCTGTTTGGAACTTCTCCCGGATGCAGTCTTATCTGGCACAGGAGTTGTGGGAGGAGTCCTCCTCTCTTTTTCAGCAATGACATCGTACAGAAAAGAGACATCCCTTAAGAAACACAAAGAAACCAAACACTCTGTTGGGAGAGAACGTTTGCCCCAGGCATTTGCTAGGTATTCAGAGTTGCACAAAACATGTGATGCTCTGGATGACACATCTGGAACTCCCTTGCCTGAGGGCACTGCCTCAAAACCCCTTGTCTGCAACTATAATCCCATGCCCTCTTTGAGAATGTTGAGAGTTGTTGGGCCCCACTGGACACACTCAAGTGGCCGCATGGATCCTGTCCCCATCCTCCCAGCCCATTTGTTGCTCTACATTGTCTTCCCTGTGTTTCCCTCTTAGCTGATAAGAAGTACTCCAAGCCCTCAGACGTTCTGGGTCCTAGTAAGCCAATATTCCTCCATTTTGCTTAGCCTTTCTCTTCCTCCTCCATCGTGAAGCTGGGACCATGACAATTAAGACCCCCAGCTATTAATCAAGCAACTTAACCACAACAGAGATCCAACTGTGATAATACTCGGCTCAAGAAAGAATTATCCTTGGCAGTAACATGTATTCTTAAAAGGTCCTTGGTTGAGCCTGATTTAATTTGGAGGGTTTGGATTCCCCACCTAACCCACAGTCCAGTGAGGTAAACCAGATTGCCTCCAAACACACCCTCTCCCCACCTGGAAATCTCCCCTCAGTTTCCTTATTTGGAAATATCCAAATATCCCCAGGGTCTCTCTCTCCTGTTTCCAAACCTGGAAAGAATACTTTGTTTTTAACTGATACCTCATGCCCCATAACTGACACCTGAATCTCCCCCTTAAGGGCACCTGTGCTTGCCCAGGACTAGCCCTTTCTTTTGAGCTGCCAAGCACCCATCCTAAACTGCTGTTTGTGCCCTTGAATTATTCTGGGTTACTGCCTGCCCAGATACCTGGATCCCTGCTTTGGAAATCAGACTTTTGTTGGATCTTTTAAAAATATTTTTATTTTTTTTTAAATTGCTGGATCACATGGATAGGTAGCAATAGTGCATTCTGCCCTCTGTCTCAGCCACAGACTCAACTTCTCTTTGCCTGCTTGCCTCCCCCTTTTGCGTGGAACACAACAGAAGGTGTATGAGTGTTTGGAATAACTGATTATTAACATGGGCTTCCTAGGACAGTACTGAATGCCCGATATTATTTTGATTGCTTGAATCACTAGGGCCGCGGTCACACGGACCTCTTACCGCGCTAGTTTTCCCACAGTTCTTCTATCCGCAACATTTTATATCGCTTGGAGGTGGTCAGACGGTCCCTCTGTCTTCCGCTTCACTCGCGCGAAGCACTGATTACACAGCACGCCGTCCCTGTGGCGGCGTGGTATTTTTTTTTAAAAAAAAAAACACCTGTGCATGCGCTTGTCTTCCCATGCGCTTGGGCGTGCATACGAAATAATTAAAAAGACCAAAATAAAAGCTAACACCTGTTTGCACATGCGCACAACTTAAACCGGAAACACACAAAAAAGGGAGGGGGGGAGGGTCACGGCGGTCACGGCGGATTGCTGTCCAGATACCAAAACCGCGGATACAAAGCACAAGATATCGGGAAAACACCTGTCCCAACGGGTGTCAGAAAACGCGGATAAAAAGAGTGGAAACCGCGGGATTCAGCCCGCTTCGGTGCGGGAGGCGGGCTTGCCTATATGGACAGGAAACTTTAAAGCGTGAGGGATCAGCAGCGAAGCCCGCACTAAATGTCCGTCTGACCAGACCCTAGTTCTCCAGACCAGCCGCATGAACTATTCTCCTCAATAAAACTGTTTTCATGATAACTGAAGTCTCTGTCTTCCTTCCAGAGTTGTAAAGGAGCCTTGTCACTTTGTCAAAAGACTCCTCAGAACCATTTGTGTGTGTGGGGGGGGTGTCACTGATCAGATTCCTTTAACATGGGTTTAGAACCTGGGCCAGCAGCTCCTTTAGTATAGACGTGAGAGGTGGAGAAAGGAAGGCCTCTTCTTTATGCTCAGTCTTTTAATGTGGGATTGGGCCAATTCAGAAAATGGGTCACATTCACAGTGATATGTATCTAGGGTGCATAGGTAATCCCTGATTGTGCATGGTAACGACATGTCATGCTTCAAGGGGGGATGGGTAGCAAAAGAAGGATGGATGTTGGCTAACATGGGGCACTGTATGATAACTAAAAAGAGGAGAGCAGCTAAAGGTTTTTGAAACAGTCGTGGTCTATCTTTTGGAAGCTGTGGCATAAGAAAAGCCACAAAATGAGATAGGGGTATTAAGAACATAAGAACATAAGAGATGCCAATGTTGGATCAGGCCAAAGGCCCATCCAGTCCAACACTCTGTATCACACAGTGGCCAGAAATACCAGTGCCATCAGGAGGTCCACCAGTGGGGCCAGGACATTAGAAGCCATCCCACTGTTGACCCCCCCAAGCACCAAGATGACAGAGCATCACTTGCCCCAGAGTCCCTATCTATACCTTGTGGCTAATAGCCACTGATGGACCTCTGCTCCATATGCTTATCTAATTCCCTTTTGAAGCCGTCCATGCTTGTAGCCGCCACCACTTCCTGTGGCAGTGAATTCCAAGAATCACTCTTTGGGTGAAGAAGTACTTCCTTTTATCTGTTCTAACCCGACCGCTCAGCAATTTCATGGAGTGCCCACGAGTTCTTGTATTCTGTTCCACACTGCAGTTCATATAGATATACAGCCACCTGTGCCTTGGAGTAGTTTTGCTTCTGTGCAACATGAAACAATGTCACGTACATGAGGCAGGCAAGAACACAGGTCCAGGCATAGTCAGGGGCACAGCACTCCTGTTTCTGTCCAGATGGGACATCTCCCCTGTGTTGCAAGTTAGCCACCTTTGTTTATGTGTTGGAGATATTCCCCTAACAGTCCTCTTCACTGGGCGCCTAAAACCCAAAGAGACCAACACATTCAACATAGGGGTCCTATTAGTCCTGTACTGTTACCTTCCGGCTCCCGTCAGGCAGATGGGATGCTGTATCAGGTAGCGAAACCTGTTTCGGCGAATGGGATGCTGCCAGACCCCGTCAGCAGTTCGAATGCAGCCCTAAAGAGCAAGAAAAGGGATCACGCAAGAAGGTCCTTCCAGAACAATTAATAAGCAAATATAGCTGTTATTAAAACATTGTGCATGAAACAAACAAAGCCAGCCTAAGCAGAGTTATACCCTCCTAAGCATATTGATTTAAGTGGACTCGGAGTGCAAATCTCCAGAGCTGGATAGCCTAACTGAAGATGTGAAGGCAAAACAAAAGAAAAAGGAAAGGAAAGGAAAGGAAAGAAAAAGGAAAGGAAAGGAAAGAAAAAGGAAAGGAAAGGAAAGGAAAGGAAAGGAAAGGAAAGGAAAGGCTTTCCCCTGAAAAACCCTCTTATAAAATATTTTCTCTTTTGGAAAGGGTAAAATGCTCTGTAATACAAGATTTAGCCACTCAGAATGTACAATATGATGATTTTTATGTAACAATAGTTTTGTATATAATGTATATATACACATCATATTTTCAGGCATATATTTATTAAGTGTGACTCATATGCCCACAATTAATATGCTATAATGCACATGATGATACTAAACTATGGAACTATGTGTTCTTAAATTTAACTCAATGTTCAGCTGTACCGCTAACCTTATTTTGACTGTATACAAATGTTTCTGCACAGATAACATTGTTTTCTTTACTACAAAATTCATTTTTCCTATTTTGAATTTTTCTTTGATAAAAAAAATAAGATACATGAGGTAAGGCAGGACATAAGTGCAGCAGTGTCCATATCTCTGTTTCCAACAATAACAATATTTATAACTTTTTTCCTTATAGAAAATGATGGCACTTATATTTTAAAATTTCATAAATGTATCTGTGGCAGAAAGGTGCCTGATGGGCTAACAGGGCAGGAAAGCAGTCAGCAAGGAAACTACTGCTGCCTCAGTGGAAATTCAGTGGTGGGAAGGGAGCCTGTGTTAGTAACTGAACCTAAAGAGTCAACCCAGGCTCTGTGGCAGGTGGAAGCTAACAGGCAGGTAGGCTAACAGGCAGGTAGGCAGTCAGTCAGACCGAGGCTGTTAAGGATTCTCAAGTGTGATGGTGGGAAGAGGAGCCCCACCCTCAAGGAGGATCAGGCAAGGTGTTGTAGGAGAGAACAATGGGCGGGGGGCAGAGCTAGCAGACAAAAGAGGCCTGCACTGAAGCAGAGGAAGCCGTATGTATGAACATATGAAGCTGCCTTCTATTGAATCAAACCACTGGTCCATCAGGGTCAGTATTGTCTACTCAGACTGGCAGCGGCTCTTCAGAGTCTCTGGTAGAGATCTTTCACATCTCCTACTATCTCATATTTTAAGCTGGTGATGCTGGGGATCGAACCTGGGACCTTCTGTACAAGAAGCAGATGCTCTGCCACCAAGCCACAGCCTCGCCAAGGAAAGAAAGCCAAGTCGTCTGTTATGCTTGGGCTGGAAGAGTCTCTCTGTAACCTCAGTTGGCCTGTGAATTAAATATGCTATAACTACACTTGTTGGCCTCTGTCTGATTATTGCAGCGAAGAAAAAGGTGAGAGCATGGACACCCCGCCTCCAGCCCGTTACACCCATCGCTGATTGCCATGACAAACAGTACAATTTTATATGCTAAGTTATAAATGATTCAATTTATGGTTAAAGCAGTAAAATAAATTTAGGCTTGATAAGAAAGTAATTATTGCATACATTTCCATTTTTTCTAAAGTTTGTTCGTCCCCCCGTCCCCCGTGTAAATATTTTTTTAAAAATGTTACATCTCTGGGCCTCTCTGCCTATTACATGAATCCAAACACTACTTCTAAGGGAAAATAACTGGAACACAGAAATAGCAAGTGGGAATGGAAGAAGTACTCAACCCCTCCCCAACCACCATTTCTCTTAACATCACAGCACTGTCCTAGACAGTAGTCTACATGCATCTAGTATAATTCATGGCTGCCAGCAGATCCCCCAACCGGTTGAAGTTTCTATCAAAGAAGAAAATAAATCACATAGTAAGAATGCCTGGAAACTCTCGAGAGCAGGGCAAGTGTCAGAAGTGACATATCATGATGCATTGCTATCACACATCCAGGTGAAAAACCAGATGTGATGTCAGCTGACATTCCGGAAACTCGATGGTATTGCCACAGTTCCCAGAGCACTGGGTAATGTAATGATGTCACATCCAGGTTTTCAACTGAACATGATGTCATTTCTACCCACCCCTCACCCATTTCTCCTGCCAGCCAGAAAGAAAAGATTGTTGCGAGGTGGTGGGGAGGCCCAGTGGTGGGAGACTGCCCACACAAACCAAGCAAATGGCATCCCTATGCAGGGATCATACGTACCTGGAAGTCTTTCATATGTTTGGTTTTTGTGGGAGGCCTGAGATATGAGGGACAGGGGACAGGTTTGGCTGCAGAGGTGAGAGCAACAAAGATCTCTTCTGGGATGAAATCGTTCCGTAAGGAAGTGGGAGGGTGCTTCCAACTGTCTGTTACACTTGGCTTCCTTCTTAACTCAGGAAGTTCTAGATAAGGAAAAAAAGTAAAGACAATATTTGTTAGAAACAGATGTGTTTTCCTCCAGAAGACTAAAAGAAAATGACAGCTGGCCCAGTCATTCAAAGTTTTGCCATGATGGGTGTATGAGAGAGAGATACTCTCTGTTCTACCCACTTTGGTATACACTGGATTTTAATAAATAGCATTTTTCTTAAAGTCCACTGCTGGATCTATGGGCACAGAGTGATTGCTTAAAACTTCTGTTGCAGTGCGGCTAGAAACTAAAAGAAGGAGGGATGGGTCTGTCCTTAGGAACAGAGACATTTTGGCTCCAATCCTAAGAGCAGTTTGTTGACAGTCAGCCCCCACTGAGTAATACGGGACTTTTTTCTGAGTAAACGTGCTTACGATTGCTCCAAAAACTGTCCTACAAAAAGTACTCCAGTACAAGCAAGAATCCAAACATATCAAGACAGGGCCATCATCAAAACAGATCAGCCACACATTTATACCTGCAGGGGTACAACACAGGGCCATTTACCTTTATTTTCCATGATGGGAACTAAGGAAGAGGCATCTTTTGCTTTTCTCTTCTCTTGCTTTGAAGTAGATGGTGACTTTGGAACCAGTTCCTTGTTAGCAGACATGCTGAAATGCTGTTTGGAAATTGATTACTCACTTGACCTAAGAGATGTTTTCAACAGCCAACAATCTACAAGGGATACATAGCCCACACAGACAGACATGATGGTACCCAAATACACATAGTTCAATTTAAAAATCTGTCTCTAGGAAAGCAGGAAGCACAATAAGGAAGAAGACAATGTCTGGCATGTAAACATATTATGTTCTAACAATACCATAAAAGCAACCGTACTGGATCAGATCAATGGTCCATCTAACCCACCATCCTGTTCTACATAAAGACCAGACACACCTCAGGGGGTGGATTGGCCAGTAAGACCACCAAGAATCCTGGTGGGAGGATGACCTGATAGGGCTGCAGCCCTACTGGGGGATCAACCCCCAGTAGGGTCACCCCACCCAAAGAGAGCAGTGGGTATAAGCTGGAGGTGTGGGGAAGGAAGGCTTGCCACAGTGAAGGACATGCCCACTCGGGTTGCCAGGCCTTCCACTGTGGCAAGAGGCCTCCTGCTGGCACCTCTTATTGCCCACCGCTACTTTGAGAATTTTTTAAAAACCCACTGTTGCTGTGTGTGCACAGATGTCACTTCCAGGGAAAACCCAAAAGTGATGTCAGGTAGCTCTAAGAATTACCAGAAACTCTATAATTTTACCATAGAATTTCTGGTGATTCCTAGAGATACCCAACATCACTTCCTGGTTTTCCATGGAAGTGAAATCACAGCACACACAACACCCCCCAAGTTCCCACCAGCTGCCAGTGCCATCTGGCCTCTCTGTGCCCAGCAAGGAATCAGCCCACCCAACTTCACCCCACCTGCAACCTAGCTTGGGATTCCCCCCCCCATCTGTACCCAGAAAGCTTACAAACAGGGTACAGAAGCCAAAGCCTCCTAAGGTTGATAATGCCCCCCTCTGCAGAGGTGTCGAACTCATTTGTCATGAGGGCCGGATCTGACATAAATGTCACTTTGTTGAGCCGGGCCATGTGTGCCATAAAACATAATGCAAGGTACTGGAGAGATAAACTGTATAAAGGACAGCAGCTAGTAAGCTCCAAGCTGGTGTATCCTCACTTCAAGACCTCAGGGACTGGGAGGGGGGTGCAAAGGAAAATCCATATGGGCAGACTGGAGAGCTAGCAGTGCAGCACTGGGCAGACACTCCCACGCCATTTGACTGCTGCAGATGAGATTGTTCCACCATGCTGAAGCCCCAATTGGAGTGGCTCCCCCTCCCCAGCAGTCTGCTGTTCCCTCTCTTGTACTAGTTGCTCGCAGGCCGCAAAAGAGCCCTGGGTGGGCCAGTTCTGGCCTCCAGACTTTATGTTTGACACCCCTGGATTACTGCTTCCAAGCATGGAGAGTCCATCATGGTTAATACCCAGTGATGTACCAGTTCTCCATGAATTACCCTGGTCCCATTTTAAAGCTAACTAAACTGGTAGTTAACCCTATATCCCATAGTTGTGAATCCCATAACTTAATTACTCTTTGAGTGGGGAAAAAACTTGCTTTCATCCATCTTGAATCTATTCCCCATCAAATTTCATCAGGTGCCCCCAAGATCTAATAGTAGGGGAGAGGGAGGAAATGTTTGCATATCTGCTTTCCCCATCCCATGCATAATTTTATAACCCTCTGTCATGTCCCTTTTAGTTGTCTTTTCTCTAAACTTAAGAGTCCCAAGCTCTTTAGCCTTTCCTTGTAGGGAAGGTGGTCCAGTTCGATTTTGGTTGCCCATATGCTGCCCATTTTCTTGTGTGTCAATATCCATTTCTGTGATACAGAGGTCAGTGCCCTTTCTAATAATCCCTAGCACAGAGTTTGCATTTTTCACTGCTACTGCACAAAGAGGGCCAATTACCTTCACATTTCAAAGCTATTGGAGGATGACATAAAGGACTTTGTATCAGATGTGAAATGGATGTTTTGTGCCTCCCACATGCACCCAAGCTTTTTATTGTTTGTGACCATGGCTTGTGGAGAGCGGAAGATCCCACCTCCCCCCTATGCTGTTTGTGCGTCCTCAAACTGCCCTCCTTGCACAGCCATTGTTGGCTCCATCATGAACACTACATGTAGCCACATAAGAAATGTGATTTTTGCACAAGAGCAGCCAAACAACAGCCTAAGGATGCAAAAACAGCACAGGAGAAGGCTGCTTCTCCCCACATGCTGGGAAATTATCAGTGAAATAGGGGATTACCAGCTGCAGGGGGGGGATGCCCTATCTCTTTAAAAGATGCTTAACCGGATAGTATGAATCAGGTGGTGCCATGCCATGCCAAGCTAAGTTGCAACTCCCCATTTCCACACTTTAAGTCTCAATTAAAGGGACAGGATATTTTTCTCCAGGCCTGCTGGCTACCCTGTCTATAAAGAAAAGTTTTTGTCTCACACCACTGGGTGGAAGAAGGCCACCGGTATATCTCAGGGCTTTTTTTTCTGGGGGAATGCGCCGGAACAGAGTTCCGCAACCTCTTCGACAAAATTATTTTAAATATGTTTAAAAGTTCATGAGTTTTCAGTATACAGAATGAAACCTTCATTGCACCTCTTTTTCACACACACAAAATATGTTATCCTTCAAAACATATTTCCCAAGCCACTCACTTCCCAAAGGAGCAATGCTTCCCTGCAGCCCAAACCTACTCCTCAACGAGGTCTAGAAACCCAAAGGCCTCCTTGCAGGGAAAAGCTCTAACAACTCAAAGGCCCACAGGAGCGAGTACAGCTATTACAGGGGTAACGGGGATCCTCGGGCACAGCACTTACTAGAACTTGAGCCCTGCCCCATTGCTGGGGGAAGGCCGAATGACTCTATTTACTTGCCTTTCAGCTGCTTCCTGTTGTCATCTGTTGCTATGGGAACGTAGACGCCACTTATTCGTGTCTAACACGGTGCCTGATTACAGAAACCACTCCTTTAACTCCCTCCTCTGCATTAGCAACACCCTTTTCCGACTCGCCTCGCCGCTTCCGTTTCTATCCCACCCCAAAAATTAGAAAAACCAGGGGAAAAAATTTATCCGTAAGGCTTTCAATTTAGTCCCCTTAACAACGGGGGCTAGGGGGCTTTCTGTCCGAGGTCTCCATAAGAAACAAAGCGAAAGGCGTCTCGAGTCATTGCGCTGGACTGGTTGCTGTGGCAGCCGGGCTGCCCTCTAGTGGGCGCACAGAGAATATCGCGTCTAAAATTATTTAAAGGCTCTTGGTTAATATCAGAGCGAAAGCAAACCCTTCTGTAGTGTTTTGGATGGGTCCCGAGTATGTCCCTAGCAGTGTTCCCTCTAAGCTGAGTTAGTGTGAGCTAGCTCACCGTTTTTTAGCCTCCAGCTCACAATTTTTCCTCTTAGCTCAGGAAGGATGGTTCTAGAGCAAACTAATGTATGCAGTAGTCAAATCAGTTGCTCACAACTATGCCAGTAGATCACAAAGTAGAATTTTTGCTCACATGACTCCATAGCTTAGAGGGAGCATTGGTCCCTAGTCATCTCATCAGCTCCAGTGCTGCTGCTGTTGCAACTAACACCAAAACGAGGGCTTTTCTGTGGTGGTACTCACCAGCACGCAGTACCAGCTCCTTTCGCGGGGAGCTCTCCCAAGTTCTGAGGGAGGAGTTGGTGATCGGTGTAATCATAAGTACCAGCAGACTAAAATTCTAACTATTAGAATTTCCAGCTTTTTGTTCATTGTTCCCAGATTGGGGATTGGAAGAGATCAGCATGGCCATAAAAAATACAGACTGGCAGAATGAAATGTACAGTTTGAATTGATTTATTTGGGGGGGGGGATCTTGATATGGTTTAACCGCTAGCAACACAAGATGGAAGAGTGCTGCCTACAAACTTCGAATTTTGCCTTGAAGGAAGGGGTGAAATTGCGTAGCCAGTTGGGAAATGGGGCTGTTATTGCATGTGCAGCCTGGGAAAATTTCCCAGGAACAGTTTGTTTTCACAAGGGTTGTTAATGGTTCCATCCTGCAAGAACAATGCAAATTTGTTTTATAGGCAGGCCAGCCTAGGAAAGATCAGGGACTTTATTCATGCACTGAAAACAGCTGCAATGGTTCTACCCTGA